ACTGTTTTGTAACAGCCTTCATTACTGTTCTGTAAAATTAGCATAATACTTCTACTGTATCAGTTCAAGTAGTTAAGTATTATGCATTTAGAAAGTTTTGGACACAATTCTCTGTAAGAGATATATGTATCACTTTAATCAATTGCATTTTGAGAACACTTCATGTTAGCAGTTCTTTAAACCTGACTCTGTGAATTTAAGAAAAGAAGCCCTTGATCAACACGATTAAGTAGATCACAAGAATCGAAGCATCTTTATCCTGAGTGCTTGTTGTCCTGCAGGAGACCTGCTCTATGTGTCTTGTTCTGCTTCAGGCAAAGAATTTTCTAAAAGACGTGCCTCATTTACCAGTTCGGGGGGAGAGATGAATGCAAACTAAAGTGGTTTTAATCTTTGGTTGTGAGACCTAAATAAAATGGAGACTGTCAGTGCATTTCTAAACATAGATTCACAGGTGTATTTTAAAAAGGGGTTAAATATAATCAAAGACCAGTGCTAATTAAAAAGAATTAAATTAGCAACATAACTTTAAATATAAATACCAAAGTCTAAACTTTGATATTCAGAGAAGAGATAGAAGTTTGGGGAATCCGATTTGATTCTGTAAAGTTTAGGCTGTCAATGTGCTACCTGGGGAAGAGCATTCTGATTCAATCTCTTCTGTGAAAATACATTGTGTCATGGAAAAGATCCACTGTATACTGGGAGAAATGCTGTCATGTTTCCTGGCTTATAAAGTGTATCAATCGCAAAGATGAGAACTGTGGCTCCTATTATGGGCAACATTTGAGACTGAGATAGGATTTTCCAAACTGCCACATAAAATATAAAAATAAAAAATATTAACTTACATAGCTTCTAGGTCTTTTTCTTTGAGGTATTAGAAGTGTTACTCAAGGAAAAGACTTGAATATTTTAGAATAATAATTTTTATTGCTTCATATATAAGCTACTTCTATCTAAATGGACGAGCAAACAAATGGCATATATCTTAAGAAAAGTCTCTGCTCTTAAAGGAAATTAACAAAAGAAAATTCTAAATTTATATCAATTGCCAATAAAATTTAATGAAAAAAAAATGCACTGAAGCTGTCAATGAATTGGTATTGTATATCAGCTCATTGCTAACAAGCTTTAATAAACAGCACTGTGAAAAACCTCCATCCCAAAAACGTTCAGTTTCAAATATGCTTTCAAATTTCATAATTATCTATTACTGTGGCTTCGAATGGTAGAAGCACAGAGCTGACTCAGATACTGAACTTTTACACTAGATATTTAACCTACTAACAATTTAAAGTTCTCTTTTATGGAAGAAAATTATGATGAACTTCAGAAAATACTTGTTTGGAAAAACTGTAGCAGTACAAAATAAAATATGTTTGAAGTAAATACTTCATTATACAATTGCATTGAGCAATTTTTTAAGCTGGAGGGTCTCCTGGAAAAGTGTGTATCCTAATCAGAAGCAAAATTATCAAGTTTATATACCATTAAATGAGAAAACATTGGAACTACCAAGCAACAGAGTAAACTTGCTGGGTTGTTTTTTTTCAAAGTTGCTGTTTAAGAAAATTGCACAATGCATAGCATGTAGACTAGATGACCAAAAGGGAAATATATACCATTGAGGGAGACAAGTCCTCTAGAAACCCTTTAGTGAGCAGAAGGGTATCTTTAACTGAGAAGAAAACAGTCATTCACTTTGCTGTTATTGTGAAGATCCACGTCTTACAGCAAACTTCTAGGTAAAGAGGCAACAGCCTAGCATGCTTTCAGATTGGAATACTTCGGATATTATGCATGTTTCCTTTTTTAGGGATATGTAGCTGTACTGTATTAAGAGTGTGAAATGGTCTGCTTTATTCCTGTGTAAGGATACTAGTACTTTCTTCCATTTCTGTTAGCCTCTGGATATCACTGACATTTTTCAAAATGTTGAAATGCACTTATTTCATCTACTGTGTTAAAATTTTCTTTTGATTCATGTGGGAGAATGGTCTGTAGTGATGGTAGTACACAGAAAATAATTACCAGATTTTAAAAAGATAAACATGTTGGAAATTGATGTATCCTTGGGGCAGGGACTATCTCTAATTAAATGTTTATACAATGCCCGATATAATCAAGCCAGGAGCTGGTTGACTGCTATGCATGCCACAGTCCAAATATTTAATAATAATAATAACAACAGTTCTGCAGTCAATTTGATCTTACTTTTGATATTTACAAGTGTTTTCCTAACACACACTGCAGATTTCTGCAATTTGAAGGGCTTCAGGTTCAAATTCTGCAGTCTGTTTGATTCTACCATATCCATCACTTTAGCACTCAAAATCTTGATCCAAATTCTGTCTTTTGCTTTGTGTGCCAAATGGAGGATGGGATGCCCCATGTTTTGAGGGAGGTGGGACAAGTATCCAGCTGATATTCTAGCACACAGATGAAACTGAAGTGCCAGTGATATGTTTAAAGTTTCAGCAAGCACCCCTACAGCACGACTCAGATGTAAGAAAATTTGCCTGACAGGTTCTGTGATGAGCTGTTCTTTGAAAACATTCTATTGGATTCAGTGTGTGTTCAGTTTGCTACACTGATTGGAACGCCTTCTCAGTCATGAGGCATAATTCATACTCTTGACTTTATTAAGGAATTAATCTTTATCAGGACAGTCTTGGCTTCAATTCAAACCAGGGTTGTCTTTGCACAAGACAGAACTCTAAAACAGGAAACTGTGAAAACCTTTGGGAGCCACCATCTGCAGAAAAAAGTTCCTCCTAGGGGTGGTTGGACAGCCATTTCCACTTTATTTGACACTGTCTGCATGCCTAAAAATAAGGTCTCTCATCCTCTAGGACAGCTTCTATAGTCAGGAAGAACTATTCCTGGAAGTGGGTACAATTTGTTGGTTAAGGATTAAGAAGTTGTGATTTCTGTCATTGATTAATTTTTATGTCCCTTAAGTTAATTATTAGGGTTTGTATAAATAATTAATTTTATTCATTATATTCATGTTTGTATGAATTCATTCATACAAATGGACACAAATATTCATTCATGTTTGTATGAATAACTAATAATTATTGTACTGAAAATCACAAGTGTTAATGATAATTTCCATATTAGTTTGGTTAGCTACTGTTTCTGTGTATAGCAATTTAGTCATGAATAAACCTGTATGTTGGAACGCCAGAGCTTCCTCTTTCAGTCACTCCTTTAAGACAATGAATAATGCCTGTTCCTCTGTAAGAGAATCTTTTCCTGCCTGAGATTTGGACCAAATCTTTAAAATTGTATCTGGGGGTCTCTCTTTGCTAAAGCAGCCTTGGAACATCTACCCAAGAAAGCATAATTTGGAACAGCCAACCTCTTCACTGCAACTTAGTAAGAGCATGCTGCACTGATGGACTTTCTGTCCACACATTAATATGCTCAGAGACAATGTGAAATTAGATGTAGCCTGATGATTGCAATAGGGCCTGGCAAATAAGAAGTATGGAATTCAGTCTGTGTTTTCATTTAACAACACTTCTTTAACTTGGAATCACCCTATGATGCACTACAGTACCTTTATACCTGGGGCTCTCTAACTCTGATGTTTAATAGTAGTTTTAGTATGCTGTTCATAAGCCTGCAAAGAGGCACGAAGGGAGTTTACTTACTAGTGGATTTTCAAGAGTTGTCTCTACACATTCACACAGCCAATCTGCCTTGCCCTTGCTGTGGAGCTCTAGCTCTGATTTTTAACACTCCGCAGGCATGCGATAAGAAGAAGCAGCGGGTGGGGCACAGTGCATTTGCTTAAAGAGATGGAAAAACTGACACTGCTCCTGTGTGAGAATACTACTTCATTCCCTATGAAATGGCATTCCTGTGCTCTGACAAAACCTAGTGCCAGAAATACTGAACCCTATTACTTCAGTGTGAAGAGGCAGTTCTTGAAGAAGTCGTTACTAACTCCAAATTTCAGTGTTCTTTACTACAATTTTTTCCAAGTGCTAATACTTACATTATGTTATGTTGAATCACATATTTATATACTTCTGTGGCTATAAAACATGTAGCATTGAATATGAGCTTATCTTTTATAGTTTTTGCTTTCCCAGTGAAATGATGTAAATGTCTATGTAAGTGGGCAGAACACTGGAGAATTAGACCACTATATAATAGCGTACCAAATTTGACAACTGCTTCCAGCTGCACAAATTCAGAGGAGGTTTTATAACTAGAGGGATTTTGCAAGGAAAAAAAAATATATTTCAAGCATGACTCATTTTTAATTACAAAAGAGAATGCGAAGTACTTGCTTTTAGTAAAATTAAAAGAAGAGAGAAACAAAAGGTATTTATGAAATGTCTTAGTGTCATAAGCTTAGAAGCACGACACTGAAAGCTAAGAGAAAAATCTAAGTAGGCGAGACAAAATCTTTTTTTTTTCCTAGAATGTTTGTCTTTTAAAAAAAGCCTACAAGGTTTTTTTGTGGTTTTTTTTCCTATAAACATTTGCTTCATTGTACTGATTCTCAGAATAGTAGGAATTGTTAGTTGAATGAATAAAATGATCGTGAAATTAATGAGTACAAACATACAAACACTAATTGTTGCACTAGAATGTATCTGTTGTCAACCTTTGCAGGTTGTCTTGCAGTTGTACAGTTCCATTGGCCCCAAATGGTACTTACTGAACATTTATTTTTTATTTGTTTGGACCACGCCAGTATTACACAGGCAGCATGAGGGAATAATGAGCTGCATTCTTTGGGTTACTGAAGAGTCAGCACAAATTGGGGGAACAAATAACAATCAGACAAGGCAGTGTTTTATAACATCAGGACTGCAATCCATCTTTGGGATCTTTCAAAGCTGGGCTAATAAAGGCCCACTTACAATCCCCAGCAGAGTACAGTTTAATTAAATTTGTCCATTAGAGGACTCCTCCCCCTCCCTCTACATTTTAGAAATTAATTCTGCTTTCTGCCTGTTGTTCTTTCTGCATCACAGATGCACTGAGCCTTCGTAACCGGCAGGTCATCTGCATCACGCTGAAAGTCCTCCAGCACCTGGTGGTGTCAGCTGACATGGTGGGGGAGGCCTTGGTGCCCTATTATCGGCAAATCCTCCCAGTCCTAAACATCTTTAAGAATATGAACGGTGAGTTATCCTACCAGACACCGGGTCTTTCAACTCCTAAGGTAAAAAGGGGCTTGAGCCAGGGTTAATTAACAACGTAGTTAAGATTTATTACTGTATATAAACTCAAATCCATTTGGAGCTCTAAATAATGTAACACCCCCCCCCCTTACTATTCCCTAAGGATGCACTGAAATTAACAATTTCATTTATTACTCCTTGCACGTACAGTTTATTTAACACAGTACAGAAGCACTGAAGCAGTTCTATAATCTTCCAATAATTAAATTGTAAAGTTTTGTAACAGTCTTTTGAATACATTAATAAATTGCAAAGGTTTTTTCCTCCCTCCAACACATTAGTTCAGTCCAACCTTTTTATTCCATTCTGTGCTCTTCACAAGTAATTCACTGCTACCAGCGGGCTCAGGAAAGAACAAAAATAAAAGTAGCAATCAAACTAATTAATTTGAGGGTCAAGAGAACTCCTTGTTGTTGAAGAATTTCAACTTGCATAACATCTAGCAAAACAGTGAAGTTGAATTTATTCCTGCTCACTTAGCAGGTTTTATTATAGGGAAATTTAGAACTAATTTGTATCTACAGTTGAGTATGTTGTTTTCTTTGTAGTGCAAACCTCTATTGCCAGTTTCAGCCTTTAATAACTGGTGCTGTGCGTACTGTGAGTACTGTGTACTGTGAATGCATTTACATCACAGTCATCAGCTAAAATCAACACGATGTATCTTGTGTTTGCCAAACTAAAATATTTTTCGGTAGTAAATCTTTCTGTACTTATCTGTTCAATTATCTACCAAGTTACTGACTTTAAAGTTTCTGTTATTGACATGCAGCCATAGAGATCAAAAGAAGTTAATTCCTCACAATCTTGCAAAAGAGGTTTTTCATGAAATTCATGGCATTTTAATAGTTATGTACAGGACTGCTTCCTATTGTACTTTCTGTTTGCATTACTACAGAATGTGTTGTATTATACTCACTCTTTAGTGAGTATAAGATTCCCTTCAGATTGAAAAATGCCTATCTGAGACAGACTTGGACAGTCAAATGAGCTTTAGATTTTAGATCCCTCTAAATGCATACATGTCTGTGACTCTGTTTTACTTAGTGAGAAACTTGCAGTAACAGACGAGATTCCACTAACACAACATGGTTCAGATGACAACTGTGGCTTTATAGAAGTTGCGGGATGAAAGGTTATGAATAAAATCCATAGGTTGAACTTCAGTAATTTCAGTAGGTCTCCTTATGAATTAGAAGATTCCCCCTCAATGGATCCAATTTCAGTTTCTGGCACAAAACAAAACTGTAAAAAGAAGGACTCTCATTGATTAATGAATATACAATACATGCTTTTTTCCAAATTTCAGCCTGAAGTAGCCCATAAATTCTCTTGACTAGGCTTTTCTGCAGTGATTTCAGATGAATAATAGAGAAAGCTCATCTGTAACCAGGTACATAGCTTAACAAGGCATTAAAAACATTCTAAATATATCATAAGTTTTGATTGTATTGTGAGCAAAATAAAACACATTTTCAACATATTTGCATGACATCTGTGCTATGTGAATTTGTGCCTATATCAAACTACACTAAATCTTGATATTTGGCATTATAGAACTAAAAAAAACCAAAAAGAAATGAAAGGCAATAGTTCAAAATTAATACATTTTATTAAAGCATTACTTTTTTAGGAATAAAGATATTGAAAGTTCAGTATTACCAGCAATGAAATGGATACTATTTGCAAGGCTTAACATATGAAACTATTCAACTTACTACTTGCATGTGGGTGATAGGGAAAGATTCTTCCTGTGTCTCCCCCTGCCTCAAAAAGCTTATATTTCTTTCCTGCTTCACTGGTGGTTGACAGAAAATATACGCTCCCTTCCTTCTCCTTTGTATCTCCCATATGCTTAATAGGCAACTGAGGTGCAGGTCTTTGCTCCCAGTTATAAGGAAGGTGTAGAGACTGATCCACACTAATTTCTCCACTGCTTGTTCATACAGGTGAGAGATGGGGTGAGTGGAGTGTACAGTCTTCTTGCTTCTTTTATGTATAGCTTGAGAAAGGAGGAACTGTGGTACATCTTCCAGGAGCTGTGGGAATTGCAGTCTATTAAGTCTGACACTGTGGAGTTTTGTCCAGAATTAAGGTATATCTGGAAGGAGCCATGTTTTAGTCCTTGCCACCTCACTAAATCAGTGTCTATCTGCTGAAAGGAACTCTTTCCCAGATGCGGCATCTGTGATACCACTCTCATGCTGAACAAGCTTATTGTTAAAAGAACATTTAAAAAAACAGTATTAATAAGACATTAAGGTCAACTTATCTTAAAGTCCAGTTACCTGGTGACCAGTTCAGAACAAACCAATCAAAGTGATTCTTCATGCAGTGTGTGTGATGTGAAGGTCTGGAACTCCTAACCCCAAATTCTTTGGATACCAAAAGTTTACGTTAGTTCACTGGAGGCCCCAAAATGTCATAAAAAAGAATCTATTGCTTGTTTAGTAAAACACATGGATCACCTCTGGCTCATGGCATTCCTAAACCACAACATGGCAGAAGCTGAGAAAGTAGTAGGTGAAGTACCATAAATTCTTGTCCTACATTCACATTGCCTAGTCATCTCCTTTTGAGAGACACACTTCTGGACTAGACAGGCATTTGCTATTATATAAAACATCCATCCTTATGTTCTTCCTACACTGGTCCCTAGAAGCCTTGCAGAAAATACTCAATTCCCATTGAGTTTAAAAATGTTCTGGAATATAAGTTCCTCAGAAACCTTATTCATACCACATACCTCTGATTTGTCTGAATCGTGATTCACCTCACAATATTAGACAGGCTTATAAATAAAACAGTAAAAAAATTGCATTGGTAATAACTTAAGTTTAGGCTATCAGAAGCAGGTATTTAATAAAACAAATATAGAATGTAGTCTTAGCTTCAGCTTGTCACATGCTTATCTCCTGAGTTGTTCTTCAGCCAACAAAATTGGTAAATCATTATTCAGAGTTCCCAGTGTTACCTGAGCTCAGAACATAACAATAGTTCGAGAAGCTCTCAGTTCTGTGCCACTTAAGTCTAAGCAATTATTTCCAAATTCCCCTCTGTTTCCCAATACTCAGGCTACAGTTTCACAGTCAGCAACAGTGTTGTTTAGTTGCCATTGTCTTCAAGGGACATTTTGTGATAAAAAAGGAGGTAGCCTTGATGGCTCTCCCTATAGGCAGCCATGTAGTGCAGATGACTGTGACTCCCACTGCAGATTTTTACTGGATTAGCCAGGGAGGCTCTGAACTATGTAAATTCTCTTTTCTGGGCTCTGATGTCTTTGGTGCTTAAAGACAACGTCTCCTTGCTCTTATTCAGCCTGCTGGCAAACTGTTCCTTAACCAGCCTCAAGTGTTCCTTTATGCAGAGTTATTAATGCATTCTTTTTCATTGTGTACCGAATCTTGATTATTCATATAAACACAGTTTCTCATGTGATCCTTTCCTTTTGCATTGTACTTGTGACATTTCCACTTTTTTCTACTTCCGCTACCTTCAAATCACCCTGTCATTATTTTGTAAAAATAGCCCTTTTTGTAAATTAGCAGATTCTGATACTGATGTCTTTTCCTATCTTATGATGTCTCCCAAACATGTTTGTCTCTAAAAATGAGTATCTTCATAATGATTATGTTGATAACTGTATAATACCAGGCAAAATGGTAAAGGACTACTGACCTTTTGGAACAGAAGATAATCTAGGTATTTAATTTTAAGGTTTTAGCACCCCTTATAGAAATCTTTATTGAAAGATTTTTGGTCAATACTTCACAAAGTGTCTGTTGGCTTTTTCTGCCTAATGCCTTTTAGTGAAGTACATTTTTCTTGTAGTTTCATATGTCAAAGAAATAATTTTGATTTTGTCTTCTAAATTCTGTGTAATTTTATGGCAGTCCGTGCGAACACACAGTATAAATGGAATTGCTGTTAACCACCAAATTAAGGTATGCCAAATATATTTTATTGTTAGAGTTTGCAGGCCACAAAATAGACATAGTTCAGGTAAGTGATTGGCAGGCATATATTTTGTAATTTGGATCTCTGGAATTACAGAAATGGAGAAGAACATCTATTGGTTGGATATGGGCAAATTCTGCCATTTTCTATCCATTTGTATTTCTTAGGTACATATGACTTTATTATCAGTAATTTTTGTAAATTAAAAAAAGAGAGAGAGTATTGATGACAAATAAAATAAAAGTTTTAATTGTTGAAAACATCTAAAACATGCTCACCCGTCTGAGTCATAAGATACAGGTAAAAATAAATCAATACAACCTAAGTTACAAATGCCAGGGGAAAGATCCAAGCCTCCTAAGATAGTCTGTCTGAAAGCCAGAGGAGAGAACCCAAGGAATTTCTGAAGAGCCTCAGTAGTGAGCAAGGGCCTTTTTGGTGCACAAAGCATATTTGGTGTGTCTGAATTTGTGCCCTGTCTGGAGCTTAAGGCCCTGACTTGCAGCAGACAATTTCTTTCCACTTGGGTTCCCGAGTGCTCTGTTGCAGACCATTAGGACAGAAAAGAGCAAAGTTCTGTTGTGGGTGATGCTACCACTAGTGTCTTTTTGTTGGTGGAGACAGCCAGAGCATCCTCTCCAACTGGCCATGGTGTGCTCTGAAAAAGGGTTGAAGCTCTCTGTTGAAACTGTTAGCCAGAGTCATAAAGCTGGCAGGAGAGCAAGAGAAGGAAACCTGGATTCATCCTGGTGATTGGGGAATACTCCTGAGATGTAGGAGATCTGTGTCTAATCTCTGCAGACTGAGAGGGGACTGGCAGTCTTTAAGCAAGCTCCCCAACATATGGACTATTATGCAAATATGCTACTATATAATATAAAACCCAAAAAGTCATGATAATGCTTATTAAGTCTATTATGAACCCTGTCATGCCACTGTAGTTTTCATTTAAATATGTTAAGTTAATGTACTCTTATGATACT